GCACTTTAATCTACTGAGCTATTTGGCTGGCCCTTAGAGCAACTGGTATTAAATAAATTAATTAATTTAAAATTCCCACCACAACTTTATTGTGATGAGATTAGCAGTCAGTGTACAGTATATATGATATTTTGATATTATATGCATTGTGAAATTGTTAGATCAAGTAATTACATGCATATGACTTTCTTTGATTGCTTGATGCTTTACTTGTCTAGATTTGCACCCTGCTGAAGTGTAAAACAATAGATGTACAGACCTGTGGTGACTCGGTTGACACGGCTGCTACCAGGTTTGACATGTTCTCCCTCAGTGGCACTTTTGGAACCCAGTACGTCTTCCCTGAAGTGTTGCTGAGCGAAGTTCAGCTTGCACCCAGAGAATTTCAGGTACCAATTTTTGCTTGATATGGCCAATTAATTTCATAAAAGAAGCACTTCTAGACATCAAATCCTTACCCAAGTGCTTCAAAACATTGTACAAATCTGCATTTGAAAAAGAACAGCTTATCTCTGTGAACCCGGAAGGACACCTGGCTTCTTTTCTAGAAGTTGCTAATATGATAGTGTGTCCTTGGATAGAAAGAAACAAATCTTATCTGGGCCACTGGGAGGAGCTTGGGCTGCTTAAGGTCCACTGAGCAGGGTGAAGATTTGGCTGGAATAGTTGAGGACCAGCCTCAGCAGAGAACCCCCTTAGAACACTGCAGAAGGATCAGCTTGGGAAGATGCAGGGATCCCTTCCTCCTGTGGGTTGTGGCCTGGAGAGACCAACAGAAGAAAGGAGGGAAGGAAGAGCTGAAGGGAGAGGATTCCACAGAAGCAGGTGCTGACAAGAAAGTGCAGACTTTACTGCCCTGACGTAATCATTCAGCAGCCATGCTCTTCCACTGAGTACTGCAGGGTTCACTCTCACTTTTCTTTCCTGTCAGAAACCACTGCAGGGTGAGGGGACAACTGGGAGGGCAGGAAAGTGACAGGAGGAGGCGACCAGTGCCCAGCACAGACCTCACCTCCACCATTCGCTTCTGGTCCAGTGAAGTGGTTCTTTCATTCAGAGGAGATTCTTCTTTTTTAAAAAAATTTTTTTTTGAAAGAACCCGATTTCTAGAATATTGAGTACAGGCATTTTTATACTGATTGATCAATGCCAGTCCCATAGCTTCAATTTTTCAAATGTTCTTATGTTGTGAACCTTTTAAATATTTCTAAAATTGGTGTGTGTGTGTGTGTGTGTGTGTTTTGCTGAACATGGAACTCAGGGCTTTGTGCTTGGCATACCTTGATTAACATCTCCAGTCCATCAAATAGTTCTTTATTTATTTTTTTTTTTGGTGTTTTTTTAAGGAAGGGTCTGCAGGGTGTTCAGGGTCCCACTACTAGATCAGACTTGTAGTGATCCACCTGTTTACAGCCTCCCAAGAGCTGGAATTACAAGCATGCGCCACCACGCCCAGTCTCAATTGCCATCTCAGCATGCCCCGGCGGCGGGACTGGCATGGCAGACCTGGAGATTGAGCTCTTGGCCGCTGTGCCTGCTTGCAGGTGCTTTAATCTGCTGAGCTATTTGGCCGGCCCAAATAGTTCTAATAGAACAGAATTTGGCCTGCACTTTTCATGGATTTCTTATCTTGGAAGTGCTGAGTCATAGGATTGCATATTTCTTTTCCTTTTTTTATGAGCAGAATATATTCATTGAGAGAAAGAAAGCTTCTGCCCAAGAAAGAGAGAGACAGGAGGGGGGCCCGAGCAGGTAGTTTACTGGGAAGTTGTCTCCTCCAGGGACTTTTATAGAGGAAAACCATATGGTGAGGCAGATTTAAGGTAGTGGAGAAGACATGGGAACTCGCTTAGTTGGGTATGAGGTGGGACAAAACTATGGTCAGCCAATGAGATTACAAGCACCATTGCTCAGTTAAAATTGATTAAATCCTGTATCAAATGGGGAGGGGAATCACGTAGCAAGCAGGCATGAATACGGGACAGGGTCTCTTCCTGTTGGGGGTTGGGCTAGTGATTCATTTAGGCTCTTTCAAGTTGATTGATGCTATTTAGGGTCTCAATCCCTAATGCCCATCCCTAGGGAAGTGTGTAGCTGTGCTTCCTCTTTTTGTCTTGGTCTTCAGGTCTGGCCCTTATGGGAGTGTCTGTCTCTTCCAAGTTGCAGTCACCTTGTCTTCCATCTTGTCTCTTTGGGGGCCTGACCTTGTCTAACTGCCTATAGTATTTATATCTAACTCAGCTGCCTACAACATTCCCCCCTCTGAAGAAGTAACCCGAACTGCAGTGAGGGAACTATGGGCGATGACCGCTCTGGCTTCTTCAAGCTGAAATGGGTCGTAGTTGTTGACTGGCAGGATTGCGTATTTCAAAGGCTGCTTTTCTGTGTTCACTTAGGTGACGAGTGACGGGCGCCTGCTGAGCGTGCAGCCAACGTCGAGACCGGTCCTCACAGTCACGCTGTTTGGGAGGTTGTACCACAAGGATGGGGCAACAAGTGCTTCAGCCCACAGTACAGCCCACTGGCTAGAAGGATTGCTAATAGTGATAATACCACTCGTGTATTCATTGTGCTGGTAGAATACCCACATTTGTCTTTTATTTAGGATAATTTAAAAATTATGGATAAGGAAAGGATTGGTCTGGACACTGTTAATAGTAGTGGATTTAAGCCCGATATAAGTGAATGATTAACACAAATTTCTCTTTTTTAGACAAACACACATGTCAGAAATATGAGCTTAATATAATATATACTAGGGTGAATTTTTAAAACTGTGGTGGATAATTTGTCTTAGAAGTGAGATATTTGTACCAATGGAGTATCACATACACTTTATGCAGAAGAAATAAAAATTCCAGCTAAATATACGTCAAAAATTACCATTATATACTTATAAGAAGTCCGAATCCATTATCACTTTATCTTTTCTTTAGTTCTGCTTAAGATTTTCATTGACTTTCTTTCCTCCATTAATTATTTACCTGAACAGTATGTTTCAGTTCTCTTCTGGGCTGAATTGTGTGCCCCAGACTAGCAAACTGAAGGCCTTAACTCCCAGTATGTCCAAATGTGACTTGGAGACAGTATTTGAGGGGCAAGGCTGAGGTCTTGGGGGTGATCCTGAGACTGTGACTGGTGTTCTTGTACAAGGAAGGAATCCAGTCACCGTGTACAGAGTGGAGCCTGCGTAATCCTGTAGAAGACGCAGCCACCTGCAGGCCGAGGAGCAGTGTCACCGGAGAGAGCCAAGCTGCCAGTCCGCTGATCTTGAACTTCTATCCCAGATTCACAAGACAATACCTTTCCGTTGTGTAGGTCACCTGATCTGTGGCATTTAGTTAAGGCAGCCATGATGAACTAAAACAAAGCTCGGTCTTCCCTCCTTGCCCCTCCATGCTACACCAGAACCGGAAGTTCTGGGAACTCCAGCTCTCCTGAGTGCATGAGACTGCAGCAAACCTCCTGGGAAGAGTGGCTGAGCTGATGGTGAGGCCACAGGACCTTGGAACGCCCTTAGGAGTTTGCAATTAGAAAGCCACAGTTCTGAAGGTGTTTCACTGAGCGCCAGGGTCCGTTTTCAGTAACAGCAGAACCTCTTGACATTGTGCATACCAGTGAAACAAAGACCACCCTTTCTTTAGTCATGCATCTCTCTGTGACAGACGGTCCTCATAGCGCCAGTATCTGTCACTCCCTTTGTGCAATGTGCCCTTCTCCAAGAGTAATCTGAACCAACAGCCCATGGTTTGGCAAGATAAACATTTTTGTGGCAGTTGCATTTCTTGAAAAAAGCTAAGTCATCCAAAACATATTTCAATGAAAACTGTTTTGTGCTTTGTGTGGCATTGTTTTAGTTTTTTTTCTTTTTCTTTTTCTTTTTTTTTTTTTTTTGGTTTTTTGTTTTCAAAGAAAATAAGAAAAGCTGTTATGTATTATGTATATACAAAAAGAATTCATCGGGGTAAACCTCATCTGATATTAATTTAAAGCAGAAAGAATACACTGATTGTCAATGATAGGCCTAACATACTGAGCAAATATATATTATTTATCCTTGATGCTTTTCTGTCCAACATCAGCTAAATGTCACCCATGGTGGCATAACAAGTTGCATTCACCTTGTCATTTTAAAACAATAACATCTGGGTATGGTGGTTGACCTGTAATCCCAGCACTTGAGAAGTTGAGGCAGGAGGGCTGCTTTGACTTTGAGGCCAGCCTGGGCTAGGTTGTGAGTTCAAGTCCTGACTGAACTACATAGTAAGGCCCTGTTTCAATAAAACCCCAAATAACAGCAACAATAACAACAACAAAAACCAGGGCAGAGGCCAGCCAAATAGCTCAGCAGATTAAAGTGCCTGCTTAGGCAAATGCAGGCTGGGGTTTGATCCCTGGCATGCTGTGCTGGCCCCACCCCCAGGACATACTGAGACAGCTATTGAAACTGGCTTGGTGGCATGTACCTGTAATCCCAGCTCTTGGGAGGCTGAATATAGGCAGATCACAAGTCCAATGTATGTAGTGAGACCCTGTAAAAAAATTGAAACAAGAAAAGCAAGCAAGCAGGGGCTGGGGAGACAGCTCAGTGATTTAGGTGCCTACCTGGCAAGCATAAGGACCTGGGTTTGATCCTAGACACCACATGCTATGCTGGCCCTTGTCAGACGCACCCTGCGGGCCACAGAAACTGGGCATAGCGGCGCATGCCTGTAATCCCAGCTCTGGGGAGGCTGAGACAGGACAGCCACTATGAGTCTGCTGGCCCTCATCAGGCACACCCTGCAAGCCACAGAAACTGGGCATAGTGGTTCATGTCTGTAATCCCAGCTCTGGGGAGGCTGAGACAGGAGGGCCACTGTGAGTCTGAACTGCATAGCAAGATCCTGTACCAAATAAATAAATAAGATTTTTAGACATCCAGTAATGAAATAAAGCAACAAAAATAAGAGTTTACTGCCTTGCAGAAGTTCTGAGGGTCAACATCTGGAGCAGGCTCACCAGGATTCTTCTGGCTTGGGATGTTTCTAGAAACCGCAGGTGAACATGACCAGGGCTGCAGACATCTTGAGGCTTGGCTGGGGCTGGAGCATCGGCTGTCACTGTGCTCCCGTGTTTGATGACGGCCTCCACTCCTGGCTGGAAGTTGGTGCTGGCCTCCTCTCTTCCTTTCCACGTGGCCCTCACTGTCGGGTCCTGGAAAAGTTTTACAAAATTGCAGCTGACTTCTCCTCGAGTTGGGAGGTGGTGGAGAGAGAGAGAGAGAGAGAGAGAGAGAGAGAGAGAGAGAGAGAGAGAGAGAGAGACTGGATGGAAGTCACCATTTTATAATCCAATCACAGATATGGTGTGATTTCTGACATATGCTAGTGGTCACATGGAGCAGTCACAATACACTGGAGAGAATGTCCCAAGAGTGAGACTATCTGGAGGTATAATCCATGTGAAATTGTCATGGATGCTGGCTCTCATTCCAAATGCACTTGTGGTCCATAGTAAAGTTTAA